CGAGCAGAATGTGAGGTGACATGTGGAAAAATAATCCTATCCTAGCCACAAACTGACAACTTTATCCAAGGCCAAGTTTACAACCGTTTGCCAAATTGAGAAATTGGATTAGACCTTTTTACCGCCAATAGATTGGGGCCAAAATTAAGTTTTGACCCATCAGTAGAAGAAGCCCAATCTAAAACGGCTGGGGGACTATGGTCCCAATTTCTAAGATTAGGGGCAAACGAAGTCATAGAAGAGGAGAGGCTGCAAAAGAATTTTAAATGCTGGCAATTAAGAGGAAGGCCTAACCAGAGGAGGAGCCCACCGAAGGTCTTCAGCACAATAAGAAGGGAGAGGAGCTCTTCAATCTAGAACAGAGAATCAACTTAGCTTTCCAACTAGAACCTTCCCCAAACCAAAATTTTATAGCCATAAAAGGAACACAGTGGCCAAGGAATGGAAAGTGGAGCTCTGGTGGAGGAAGAAAGAGAAGAAATAGAGCACTGACACAATCAGAAATCTACTTTGTCTCACTAGCAGAACAAGAGGAGCAAGCGACATGGCTTTACAAGAAGAGCTAGGTGAGAATAATCTAAGTGTCTGTATGTCTCAGTGGGTTCTTCAAGTCCCAAATGTCTCTATTGAGAATATTGAGAATGATAAAAGTGATATGGATTTGGAAAGGGTGGTGGTGGCTGGCCTCGAACAGCTACAATACCCATGTTAATTTTGTCTTGGAACTGATAGGGAGTGGGACGATTCCAGACAGTTCGAAGTTTGTGAGGGTTAAACAATACCCATCGTCCCACGATAGTGTCTTCCTTATGGAGACAAGAAATGGAACACAAAAACGGGAGAGATTGAGAAGAAGAGCTTTAATTTCCCAAATGGTGAGGATATGGAACCAAGGGAACTGGCTGGTGGTTTGACATTATGGTGGAAGGATGAATTTAAGCTTCAAATTAATTTAAAAAATAAGAACATGATTAACGTATTGGGAAAGCTGCATAATCAAACACAAACTTGGCAAGACACATTCCTTTATGTTGACAATGACTTTTGATAGAAGACAGAAAATCTGACAAGGATTGAAGAATCTTGTCTCTATCACCGAGGGGGCTTGGCTAGTAATAGGAGACTTCAATGTGATTGGCTCTGTATGGGAGAAGGAAGGAGGAAAAACAAGTAAGGTAAAGAAAGTGGAAGAATTACAAAGCCTAATTTCTAATTGTAATTTGATGGATGTGGATTTTAAAGGCCCAAAGTTCACTTGGTCAAATAACAGACTAGGGAATTCAAATGTGCAAGAAAGACTGGACGAAGTTTCAGTTAATCCAAATTGGAGTGTGAGCCACCCTTATATGCAAGTCATTCACGAAGCTAGAGTGGGATTTGACTACTACCCTATTATTATAAATATGGACCCAAATTTGAAGAAGAAATTAATCTCATTTAAGTTCAAAATCATGTGGATGGAAGATGAGAAGTGTGAAGAGATTATTAGAAAGAGCTGGGAGGAAAACTGGAATGGGTCTGCGATGTTTGCAATGACAAAAAGCTGAAAAAGTGCGGCAAGGAACTTAAAAAATTGGAGTTGACAAAGATTTGGCAATGATAGAAAGATCTTGACAGAACTAAACTCAGAATTATTCAATTTGCATATGGAAGAGGCATCAGAGGACAACCTAAGGAGGGAAATTGAGATATGCATTGAGATGGGCCGTATAAGAAGAAGGGAGGAACAATATTGGAAGCAAAGATCAAGGATTAGTTGGTTGAATCTGGGGATCAAAACGCAAAATTCTTTCACTTAACAACAATATAAAGGGCAAATAAATCAAATATTGAGGCTGAAAATAGAAGAAGCTATCTGGTTGGAGGAAGAGGACGAATTGAATGATCACATTGAACAATACTTTAAGAACATGTTTACTACAGTGGGTCAAAGGAATTTCAATGAGGTGGTGGGGTCAGTGGAATGTAGAGTGACAAAGGAGATGAACTTGCAGCTGCTAAGGTCAATCACTGATGAAGAAGTTTGGATAGTAGTTAAGCAACTTGGTTCCCTCAAGGCTCTTGGCCCAGATGGATTCTCAGGCATTTTCTTCTACAGCTATTGCCACATTGTTGGAGAAGATGTGAGTAAAGTTTTAAGGAATTTCTTTAATAGGGGACGCATGCTCAGGGAGTTAAACAAGACAAATATTGTTCTCATACCAAAGGAAGCTACGCCTGAAACAATAACTCAGTTTAGGCCTATCGCGTTATGTAACTTCATATACAAGATAATCTCAAAGGTGTTGGGCAACAGAATGAAAGGTATAATGTCTTCTATAATTTCACCAAAACAAATTGCCTTTGTTTGTAATAGCAGATTCAAGATAGTATCATCATTGCTAATGAGGTGCTCCATCATATGAAGTTGAAGAAGAAAGGCAATGTTCAAGATTTGACAATCAAAATGGATATTAGTAAGGCATATGACAGAATTAAATGGGATTTTCTTGAGGTTATGATGCTTAAATTGGGGTTTAATCAACGTTGGGTTCAGCTTATCATTCAATGTGTTAGTACAATAAGCTTCTAGATGGTCATTAATGGGAAAAAAAAAGTGTGCAGTCCATCCGCAAAGAGGGATTCGACAAGGGGACCCCATCTCCCCACACCTTTTCATTTTGGTTGTAGATGTTCTGTTTCTAAAGCTGCGAAAGGGGGGTGGAGGAATGAAAATTTCTGGGAATTAAAGTTCGAAGAGGAAGCCCAACTATCTCTCACTTGTTTTTTGTAGACGACTCCTCTTTCTTTGTTAGAGCAAGAGAGCAAGGAATTCTAAATGTTATGAATATTCTGGACAAGTATTGTACAACATCTGGACAATGCTTGAATCAACAAAACTCTGGAATTCTATTTTCTGCAAACGCCATGATGGAGTAGAAGAATTTCTTTAGCCAACTTCTAGGTTTGTAGCCCTTGACTCGGTGGACAAAATATTTGGGATTGCCCATCCTTGGTGGAAGATCTAAGAGTGAGTTGTTTGAATATCTTTTGGAGATAATCTTGAAGAAACTACAAGGGTGGAAGAGACTGTTACTAACATAGGCTGGTAAGGAGATTTTGATTAAGAGAGTTGTTCAAGCGATCCCAAATTATGCAATGCCCATTGTAGCTCTTTCCAAGAATTTTTGTGAAAAGATCAACAGATATGTGAGGAATTTCTGGTGGTGAGGAGGAGGAGGAGGAGAAAAGAGAGGCATTAGTTGGAAGCGATGGGATAAGATGGTGGAAGCAAAAGCACGAGGGGGAATGAGATTCATAGACTTTTTTTTGTTCAACCAGGCATTTCTTGCAAAACAATGCTGGAGAATAATTTAGAATCTCAACTCCTTTTGGGTAAGGTTTTTAAAATCAATTTACTTTCCAGGAGATGATTTTATGAAGGCAAAAAAGGGGGCGAGACCTTCATGGGTCTGGTCTAGTTTGATCAAGGGAAGGGAGCTCCTAGAAAAGGGTCTCGTATAACAAGTCTTGGAAGGAAAGGATGTCAAAATCTAGGAGGACATGTGGATTCCCCAGTTAGAAAATGGTTCAATTTTGTCTCCCAGATCGCATGACTGTGATATTCTCTGGGTTAACCAACTCCTCTCCCAACCATCAAGAGATTGGAACGCTAGGCTAATAAGAGGACTCTTCAATGAGGAGGAGAGCAAGGCCATTACGGCTATCCCAATCCCAAATATCCAAGTTGAGGATAGGAGAATATGGAAACTGAACCTTTGTGGATGTTATACTGTAAGTTCAGGTTACTCACTTGCTTTAAATCTCAATCCCCCCACAAATCTGGATGTTAGCTCTTCTTTTTCACCTCACCCGAAAATTTGGTTTGCTTTTTTGCATATGAAATCGATCTTGAAGGTCAAGCATTTTTGGTGAAAAATTTGTAATAACGCCTTAGCCTCTCGGGAAAACTTATTTAACAGAAAGTGTGCTGAATCACCATGGTGCCTAATTTGCCGCGATAAAATTGAATTTATTGAACATATCCTTTTTGATTACGAATGGACCCAAAAAGGTATAGTTCGGATCTAAGCTAGGCTTGAGGATTGAGCTGGGACCACAACGGGCCGAATTAAAGTGGGTTTCGTCCTTGCTGGATACTATCAAGGATAGCTCTTAGTCACTAGAGATCATGGGGAGAGTGACAAAAACTGCCTGGGCTATCTGGAATATAAGAAATCAATTCATGTTCAAGCAAGAAGACCCAAATGCCTTAGCCACGATGTTGAGAGCACAAAATTTGTGGAGCGAGGTGAATTCAATTGGTAAGGATAGGCAAGGAGGTCAGCGGGATAAGGTATGTCAACAACACGATCAAACTCCAAGCCGATTCCGAGATCTTAAGTTGAATTGTGATGGAGCTTTCAAGCGGGGAGAAGTTGCTATAGGGGTGATTCTGAGGGATTCTAACGAGATTGTACTGGAGGGTATTGCAAAACGTATCCTTGCGGTCTCCAGCTTGTACTCCAAAGCTACTGCAGTCAGAGAAGCATGTCTCCTTGCATTTTCATCAGAGCTCCAACAGGCGACCATCCAAAGCGACAACATGGAGATAGTTAAGATGAGCTCATCTGAAGGAGTTTCCCCTCGGGAAATTAGTTCTTTTGTTGATGATATTAGGCATTTTTCTAGAGTCCTAAATTTATGGTTTTTACACAAGCCAAGAGCTCTTAATATAGTAGCTCATTGGGTTGTAACACACTTTATCTAAGTCGATTCCACTGAGTTGGGTTAGCTGCCCCCCTGCCCGAGCTTAATTCTTTAATGTCGTCTGATTGTAACCAACATTTTTCTATGTAAATGAAATTCTTGAATGCCTTCGTATAAAAAAAAAATTAGAAACATGCATGATGTATTAATTGTCCTAATTTTTTTAGGACAATTAGCTTTCAGAATGTGTAGGACAATTAATTCGGGTGTTCTTAAAATTGCTAACCATACAGTTATACTATTAATTCTAGCTTCTTGAGAGAGTGCTTGAAGAATCTGGTGATGATCTGGATTCAGCTATCAGGAGTCTTAATGAGCTATGCTTGGGGTCTGCTGAGAACCTGGGCTATGCTGCAGCCAAATCTGCTGCCACACCGGAAGCAAATGTTCAATTCTCAACTTCAGGTACAAGTTGAAAATGTATTGAAGTAAAGCTCGACATTCCTCTTTTTGGGTTTTCCCCCCTCCCCCTTGGATACATGCGTACTCTGTGTTGCAGTTAATACTTCCTCCACCTCACATTAGGCATCCAATTTGAAATTGGGAGAGTTAAATATTCTGACAGCATTTTATAGATTTTTCAGGAAAGTCAGTTTTCTTAAGATTTTCTGACCATAATCGGCAGTTATTTTGTATGACTGCAGAATCATAAAATTAGGAATGATTATTACTCCAGAAATAGCACCCAATGCAGTGGCCTTACTTTTCTACTTTAGAATTTCACATTGTTAATTGCTTTGAGCTTTGCTCATCTCCTTCATCCCCCAATTTCTAATCAGAATGGATTCATACTTGGGCCCTTTTCTTCACACCTTGGTTTAGGAATAGAGTCCTTTTGATTGCCTCTTTGATGGGTGGTGCATTGTGATTAATGGCCTATGTCATAGTTGATCTACTTGCTTCAATGAAGGCAACCGTATTTGGTGGCAAAAGGAGAGTGGGCTCATTGATTTTATGTGCAAACCTGATTCTGGGACTTTTATGATCAGGACTGAAGTAGAAACTGAGAGAAACTGTGACCTTTTCCTGGCCTCACACGAATAGCTGCAACAGAGGGATTGGGGAGGCTCTGTGGGGTCAAATCCATAAAAAGCTAGCCTCCAAATATGGAGCCCTAGCTGGTTTAAGTGCTTTATTCTTGCCCTGCACAGATTTGTCAATTGAGCGGAACAGTGGCTTGTGCTAGCCTTGCGCTAATGGCAGCGATCTAAGGTTTGATAGGTACAGAGGGTTTAACACTCAAAACCATAGCCTCCAAATCTTGAAAATCCTAGCTGGTTTAAGAACTGTAGCTCGCTGCAAGGATTCTCTTTTTAAACTCTTTCAAAACTGCTGGAGAAGAAACCTTGGCCTTCTATTTTATACTAACCCCAAAGCTTCTAAAGAAAGCCGCTAAAGTGCTCTGCATATCAACCGTCAGAACTACATAATTCCTTAACACCCCGACCACGTCGGTTGTTACAACCACACCAAAGATACCATATGGTTTAGCTAGTGTAGGTCTGAAATGATTAATACCCTTAACTAGATTTTTTACAATTGTCTCTCTAAAGGCACACATGCTTATTATCCTGTATACACATACACAAGATGTGCATCGATAATTGGTGGAACTAACTGAGAGAATTGTGCTTAGCCTCTATTTCCATCTATCACATGACCATAAAGTTTGAATCATTAATTTTATGTTGGAAACAATGTTAGTTGGGACAAAGCTTTGCTGAGTAGTTGTAATGGTTCGACTTGAAAAACGTGAGGGAATGTAAGCTTAAATGTTGAAGGGTAGGTTTCTCATATTTATGTTGCAGATATTTTGACGAGCAATGGTGATGCTCCAGCAGCTGAGGATCCATTGCATTCACAAGACCTCCCCGTGGATGGAGCAGACTGGGTGGAACTCCTTGTCAGAGAAATGATGAGTTCCTCCAATATGGATGATGCCAGAGCCCGGGCCTCCAGAGTGCTTGTGGTGTTGGAGAAGTCCATTTGTGCACGTGCAACAATAGATGCAGCCAAGAGCTTCCAGCAGGTGGTTATGCAATATGCAATAATGCTTTTCTTTTTGTTTTGAACATGAACCCCATATAATACAGCTTGTATCACTATTAGTGCTTAAAATGTATTTATTTCTAGCAAGGAGCTTCTTTATGAATGCCTTTTTTATTTCTTGTCATTCTTTTGGTTTTGGGAATGAGGAGCACTGTTTGCAATGACCACTGATTTATGTTCCTGATGTTTTGTTCTAAGCCCATACTTGCGTTTGACATGTTTCAGGAGAATATCCTGCTAAAGCAACAACTTGAAGTGCTGATCCAGGAGAATACTGTTCTAAAGCGAGCAGTCTCTATTCAACATGAGCGACAGAAGGAATTTGAGGATAGGGGCCAGGAAGTACATCACCTGAAGCAGCTGGTGACTCAGTATCAGGAGCAGTTGAGAACTCTTGAGGTCATTTTACAACCAAGCTCAAAAGTGTCTGAAAGTTTATGTGATTTATTGTTTGTGTGGAATTCAAATGCACATGCAAGTTCCTGTTCTGCATTGTTTGTTATCGAAAATAATTAAATTAATTAAAAAACTGGTAAATTTGCTGCTGAAAAGATGGTTTCCTCCAGAAGCGCATCTAATGGTCAAGACAAAAGATTAATTAAGAAGGAGTTAAAGCCCATATTTTGTTGTAGAACTGAAAAGTTGTCCTAACTATTAAATTTCTATCAATTAACAAATCTTTTAGGGACTTGATGTTCAAACTAGTATGTCTAGTTAAACATGTTAATAAAATTTTTCACAGTAATACATTTTGTATCAATGAACTTATATACTTTTGATGTGCATCAGGTCAACAACTATGCTCTTTCAATGCACCTCAAGCAGGCTCAGCAAAGCAACTCCATCCCTGGCCATTTCCATCCCGATGTCTTTTAGTTATGAATTGCAGATTTGGTTGTATGAATGTGTACCGTACTGACTGTTGAGTATGACCTAAAACAGTCCTAATAATGACTCCTTAAAAGATGCTTATGGCATTTGGGCAAGGGCGAGCATGCACTCTCTGCTTTTGTGCCCGAAGAGTAACCCAAGTTGACAGACTATAAAATCATTTTTTCTGCCTTTTGCTGTTTTAATTTGAATTGAAATAGGTACTCGTAAATGCTGGAATGCCTTTTTGAAGATAGAAGACAACTTGTGATTGTTTGTGTTTCCTGAATTGTAAGTTATTTGGTGTTGGAGTTCCACTGTCACTGTGATCCTACTCTGAAAATATCTGCCCAGCTTATATGGGTATTTGATGAGGAATGTAAGAGCCATAATACTACAGTTGTGATATTGATGGTAGTTATGGTGCTGTGTGGTGAATAGTTGTTTCTGGTGAGGTTTATTGGGTTTTGGATTTCCACTGATTATGGCTAATTGCAATGGTGATGGTTTAGATGGTTATCGTAGTAGGTGATGAGTGGTGGGTGATCTTGGGGTGAAAAAAAAGGTGGTGGTGGTGGTGGCTATTTTTTAGAAAGGAAGTGAGATCTCAGCCATAAATTGTAGATAGAAAAACAGCAAGCAGATATTGTAAGGTTAGATCAGAATATCTTGAAGATAAGTGAAAGTTTGAGTTTAAATTCAATATTCACTTAGCAGGTGGCGATACACCCGTCTTCCCAGATCCACTGTTGGTTGGATGGTCCAGGGGTTGATGTGAGCATAAACTTTTTTGGACTCTGCCACAATCACATTTGCTTAGAATTTTTGCTAAGAGTGTTAGCTTGGCAATTGCTGTCTTTGAAGACTACACATATATATACATTTATATATAATGCAGGGACATTATACATTTGTGAATACACAAAAAGGAAAATGAGTCTATATCTTGGTTGGAATTTACAATTTTCAAACTTGACGCAGTCAAAGTCTCTCCCTGCTCACCTAATTCACGACTTTGTCATCTCCTACATCAGAGGTTGAAAGAACACTCAAGGACGAATGGTTTCTTGGTAATAGCTTGTTTGTATGTTACTCATCCGAGAAGTTGCAATTTCGAGTCCGAAAATCAGTCTCCCCTAATTGAGTGTAGAATTGCATACCACGAATCTCCCATATCCCGGCTAGGATAACCAAATAGGTGTAAATCACACACACAATGCTGACCAAAAATCATCTGTATAATCTAGAAGGTTTTAAAACAGGTCTAAAGACAAGAAAGAGATGAGAGAGACTTGAAAACTGAAACAGAGCCTTGGTTGAAACTTGAGAGAGAGAGAGAGAGAGAGAGACTTAGGAAATTGAAACAAGCCTTCCACCAGCTTTCATCATCGTCTTAAACTCATCCAAATTAACCATACCATCTCCATCCAAATCAACCTTCCTAATCATCTCTTTGCAATCTTCCAACTTCTTCCCTTCCTTAAACCCCAAAGAAGACAGCACCAAACCCAACTCTTCCACTGTAATCAACCCATCTCCATCTCCATCAAAAACATCAAAAGCCTCCTTCAAATACCCCTCTCCTCCTCCCTCATCTTCACTTCTCTCTTTCTCTCTCCTCCCCTCCAAATCTCCAAACAACTCACAGAACTCGTCAAGATCAATCAACCCATCCCCATTAGAATCAACCTTTTCGATCATACCAACAACCTCTCTCTCCTCCATAAAAATTCCAATGTTCTTCAGTGACTCTCTGAGCTCTTGCTTTGTTATGTACCCATCGTTGTTCTTGTCAAAGGTGGCAAAAACACTTCTGATCTCAGCTTTATTATGAATATTATCACTCTTCACCTTCTTCTCCGCCATGGAAGAGTTTGAGACCACCACCTGTGGAGGAGCTTTGACATAGAAAGATTCAAACCAGGACTTGATTTTCTTTGTGGGTAAGTTGAAAATCGTATTGATGAGGCCAACAATGAAGAGAAGTGCTAGAAACAGTAAGGATATGACCATCTTCTTCTTTTAATTCAATGCAACAGAGAATAAAAATAAGAGGTAGAAGAAGAACCAAGACACATTCAGACTCTGGTCCCTTTAATAAAAAGAATAGTTTTGGGAGCATTGAAGAAGATTACGCGTTGTTTGGTGTGTACCTTTTTTTTTCTTTTTCTTTTTCTTTTTTTTTCGTGGTGGAGAATTTGATCCCACAAAACGCGTAACTGGAATAACTGTTAAAGAAATGGTTGACGAATGGAGGCGCAAATGTTTTCATGCTGCTGATAATGATTGTGACACTTGTAAAACCTGGTTTGGGGATAATATTATTCAAATAATATGAAAAAAAAAACTATTGTTGAATATTATTGCCTAATATTTGATATTAAAAGATGGGTAGATTGGATGGCAGGACTTAGTCATTGATATTCTGATGTGCTAAGTTTGAGTCTTGTAAAAGGCTCTTTCATTTTCGAGACGGGCTTGGTTTCAAGAGATCTTGAACATGTCCAAAACTTGTGCGACAACCTTAGAGTCTAAATGTTTAATGATTAAGCAGTGATAAATACTACAAAATATGAGGTATTTGGAGTTATAAATACAAACAAGAATTCTTGGTTTTCTTGCCACTAGTGGAGTGACACATAATTGGGGTTCAATCTTATTATATATGGTCATAATTGGGATTAAATTTCTACTATCAATCGATTTTGAAATATCTCAATAGAGTTTATATAAATTTCTAGTATATTTGGATTCATTTTTACTGCTATTTTTTTTTCATCATTTTCAATGTTAGGTATGGTTTTGATGTATGAAAAATTCATGCACTCATGGGTAATAAACCTTTGAAACTAACATTACATAAAACACTCCTAGCCGGCAACATGAAGAATGATGCTGCATTGCACCATATAACACTTCTTCATTTGGCCACCACCCAACAAAGCTCCAATCATGACTTTCACATTTTCCACATATAAAAAAAAACCCAATGATTTTGGAGCCGTACAACCGTGACACACACCCACCGACCTGGCTTGTGAGTGTATTATAGATTTGTCTAAAGCATTTGTCAACAACTTTGCTTCAAATTTAAGGTTCGAAAATTGATACTATCTCGAGTTTTAAAGTTAAAGTCTCTGAGTTCAACTATATAATTTACGGATAAGTGTGTTCATCTAAAATTTATAGTAATCGTAATGAATAAAAAATGCGTGAACTCTTCACCATAAAAAAAAAATGTTAATTTGCCAAATGAATATTCCTACTAGTATATTTAACTACAAGGCATGTGACAAATAATATAACTAGTGTGCCACAACGCCCCTATTCCGTGATGCGTTAACCGCGTATGACCTAGCATCGGATACTTTCCTTAGCTTTTATGGCATAAAGTCAAAAGCTTCCATATGCTTCGTTGTGCTTGCGTGTGCTTGTAAGCACTTGAATATTAATTATGTAATATTTATATTTTAAATAATAATTGAATTTTTATAATAAAAAATAATAATTTATTTTTTAATTAAATAATTTAAAATTTAGTGGATGTAGACAAAAAAAAAGGGAGAGAGAAGAGATAGAGAGGTAGTGTTGGTTAGTGGGATGGACTTGACTACGTACGGAAGAAATAATTTTGATATTATACCTTTAATTTTTATAATTTTAATGGGTGTTTTTATAATTTTTGTGGGTTATTTTATAATTAAAAATTTTATCACTTTTGTGAATAATTTATCACTTTTATGAGATATTTTTATTACTATTGTGAGTGTTTTTACCATATTTATGATAACTATTTTTATCATATTTATGAATATTTTTATTATTATTATGATAATTATTTTTATAATTTTTTAGGGTACCACAACAGTGCTAAAAAAAACCCCACAAATATGATAAAAAGAACCACAAATATGGTTAAATGGAGATATGGTATTGATTTTTTTTTCTATACCGTAGTCAACTCCCGGTGGGATTGTCTGATATTAGAGAGTAAGTTGGTTAAGTTATTTAAAATTAAGGGTCACCCAATACGTGTTTTAGTACGATCAGCATTTTGAAACAATACCTTTACCTTTTGAATTTATGGAAATTTTTGAGTAGGCACCTTATAAATTATTTAATTGTGAGAAAATATTTTGTAGATAAATATGTTTGACTTGAAATGTATTGTAGTTAAGTATTCATTGATAGATTTTCAAATATTTTTTTCACAAAAATACCATTTTTCTTATTTGAATGCCTGTTAGTTTGACAGCCTCATTTTTTATGAGATTTAATTTATTATATTAATAGTTTTATATTTTAAGGGATTGAGCATATTTGAAATTCAAAATTATATCACATGGAATATATCTTTGTGGCTTGGCCCAGATTTTGAAATTTATTTTTTTTATATTATTTTTTAATATTAAATGACTCTGGTTGTTTTCAAATCTAATAACAGTGTCACTTTGCAATTTTATACTGTGATGTAACATTGTCATTCATTAAAAGCAATATATATGGATGGCAAATTTGCGATGTTATATTATGTGATTTATACTATTTAGATTGTGTATGAATCAGTGAATATAATTTCACAATTTTTTTGTCATTGATTAAAGTGTTAATAAAGGTTTTACACTGTCATATATCACTATAATGTCACATTATCAATACTATGAATTGGAACATAAAAAAAATCGGTCTTCAATGGTGCTTCAAAATTTATATATTTTTTTTTTAAGTTAAAAATTGAAAGATAATGTAGCATATTTTGTTTTTTTTTTTTAAATTTAAAAATCCATGTTTTGAGGATATAACAGTTATCAAATTTAATAGAATTGTTGCATAATTTATGGTAGCTTTCTTATCCACTCTTTGCACCAGGTAATTTTTACATTGTGAGTATTTTTGTCATTAAAAAGTATTTCTATACTAAATATTTTTTTATAATTAAGTGATAAATTAAATACCGACTCACAAAAAAACCCTTAAATTTACATTCCCGAAACACAACCCTAGGG